CCTGGAATAAACCCCACTGGATCATTGTGTATGATCTTTCTGATGCATTGCTATATTTGGTTTGCTGATATTTTGTTGAGGATTTTAGCATCTGTGTTCACAGAGATTTTGGCCTATAATTTTTTTCTTTGTTGTGTCTATCTGGTTTTGGAATTAGGATAATGCTGGCTTTGTACAATGAGTTTGGGAGCCTTCCCTCTTGAATTTTACGAAATAGTTTGAGAATCAGAGGTGTTAGTTCTTCTCAAAATGTTTGGTAAAATTCACCAGTGAAGCCATCCAGTTTAGGGTTTGTGTTTGTCGGGAATATTTTGAGTATGGCTTCCATTTCACTAGGTGTAATCTGTCTATTCAGATTTTCTGATTCTTCCTGATTTAGTTTTGGAAGACTGTATGCTTTTAGGAATTTATCCATTTTGTCCAGGTTGTCCAGTTTGTTGGCATATAGTCGTTCATAATATTTTCTTACAATCTTTTGTATTTCTTTGGTGTCAGTTGTATTTCTCCTCTTTCATTTCTGATTTTATTTATTTGGGTCCCTTCTCTCTCTTTCTCTCTCTCTCTCTCTCTCTCTCTCAGAGATTTTATTTATTTATTTTTAGAGAGAAGGGAAGGGAGGAAGAGAAACATCCATTTGTGGTTGCCTCTCATGTGTCCCCTACTGGGGACCTGGCCAAAACCCAGTCTTGTGCAGACTGGAAATCAAAACAGCAACTGTTTGGTTCACAGGCTGGTACTCAGTCCACTGAATCATACCAGCTAGGGCTTCCTCTTTTTTCTTGATAAGTCTCGTAAAAGGTTTGTCAATCTTATTTTATCTTTTCAAAGAACCAGCTTTTGGATTCATTGATCTTTTGTATGGTTTCTTTCAGACTCCATTTGTTTATTTTTGCTCTGATCATTATTATTTCCTTCCTTTAACTCTCTTTGAGCTTTGTTGGTTGTTGTTCTAGTTCCTTTAAGTGTGAGGTTAGATTGTTTATTTGAGCTTTTTCTTATGTTTTTGAGATAGGCCTGTAATGCTATGAATTTCCCTCTTAGGATTGCTTTCCCACTGCCCCACAGGTTTGAGTTGTTGTGTCCTCATTTTCATGTGTGTTAAGGTTTCTTTTGATTTCTTCCTTGATCTTATTGTTGACCCATTCACTGTTTAACAACATGTTATTTGGCTTCCATGTCTTTGCATATTTTTCAGTGTTCTTCTTGTGATCCATTTCTAGTTTCATAGCAAAGTGGTCAGAGAAGATGCTCGATATGATTTCAATCGTCCTAAATTTATTGAGACTTTTTTAGTGTCCTAATATGTGACCTATCCTAGGAAACATTCCATGTGCAATTGAAAAGTGTGTATATTCTGCTGTTTTGGGGTGATAAAATGCTCCCAAGATATCAATTAAATCAGTTTGATCTATTGTATCATTTAAGGCTGCTGTCTGCTTGTTGATTTTCTGTCTGGAAGATCTAGTCATTGAAGTCATTGTAGTATAAAATCCTCTACTATGAATGTATTTCTGTTGATCTCTTCCTTTATACCCATTGAGATAGCTTTACATATTTAGGTGCTCCTATGTTGGGTGTGTAAATGTTTACTAGGGTTATATCTTCTTTTTGGAGTGTTCCCTTTATCATTATGTAGTGTTTTTCTTTGTCTCTTAATATAGCCTTGGTTTTAAAGTCTACTTTGTCAGATAAAAGTACTGCTCCCCTAGTGTTTTTTTCTTTTCTATTTGCATGAAATATTTTTCCATCCCTTTACTTTTAGTCTGTGTGTATCTTGAAATCTGAGATGGGTCTCTTGGAGACAGCATATATATGGGTTATGTTTTCTTATCCTTTCTGCTACCCTCTGTCTTTTGGTTGTATCACTTAAGTTATTTACATTTAAGGCAATTATTGATAGATATGCATGTAGTGCCATTTTATTATTAGACTGTTTTCCTCTTTTTTCTTTTTCCTCTCCCCCCTCCTCCCCTTCCTTCCCTTCCTTCCCTTCCTTCCCCTCTTCCCTCATCCCCCCTTCCTCTCTCCACCCTTCCTCTCTCCTCCTCCTCCTCCTTCAAGGTAGCCCTTTAACATTTGTTGCAGTAATAGTTTGGTGTTAATAAATTCCTTTACCTTGTTCTTGTCTGGGAAGCTCCTTATTTCTCCTTCTATTTTTAATGATAGCCTTGCTGGGTTGCTGGGTAAAGTAGCCTTAATTGTAGGTCCTTGCTTTTCATCACCTTGAATATTTCAAGCTACTCCCTTGTGGCCTAAAACGTTTCCGATGAGTAATCAGATGCCAGTCTAATTGGTGCTCCCTCGTAGGTAACTATCTGCTTTTCTCTTGTGGCTTTTAGCATTCTCTCCTTGTCTTTAAGCCTTGTCATTTTAATTATGTGTCTCGGTGTAGGCCTCTTTGGGTCCAACTTGTTTGGGACTCTCTGAGCTTCCTGGACTTGTGTCTTTTTCCTTCATCAGATTAGGGAAGTTTTGGGTCATTGTTTCTTCAAAATGGTTCTCAATCCCTTGCTTGCTCTCTTCTTCTGGTATTCCCATGATGTAGATGTTTTTATGCTTCACATTGTCTAACGTTTCTTAAGCTCTCACTTTAATTGTTTTATTTTTGCTGCTCTGCCTGGGTGTTTTTTCCTACCTTGTCTTCCAAAACACTGATTCATTTGATCCTCTGCTTCATTTAACCTACTGTTGATTCCTTCCAGTGTATTTATCTCAGATATTGCATTTTTTATTTTAGTCCTTTTATACAGTTTCTTTTTTCACGCTGTTGAGTATCCTTACAATTATTACTCTAAACTATCTGATAAATTGCTTGCCGCCATTTCATCTAACTCTTCTGGAGAATTCTCTTGTTCTTTCATTTGGGGTCCGTCTCTTGTCTTCCCATTTTGGCTGATTGTATTTTCCACCTTAGCTGTTAAAATAATCAGTCATTAAGCTGTTCGGCTGTTAAACTAATGAAGCTTTAATCAGAATCTAGGCTTAAGCACCACAGGGTGGGGCAGTAATTCCTGTGGACGGGGCTATTGCTTCCCCCAAGGCTGACAGAAAGATGCCTCCTGTAGAAAGAGGCATCTGAGAGAGGTGGCTTCTGCAGTATGGAGAATGACTCAGCACAGGGATCCTGGCAGCTGTTCCTTAAGTTCTCTCACTGGGGCTGCCAGCCCCAGACTCTCCTCAAGCATCTCTAGTCCACTCTGCCCTCCCTCTGCCAGGGCCCGGGGTAATTGACTGCAAATGAAATTTTGTGCATTGGTCCTTTAAGAGGCCCTCTGAGTCTCCAGCCATCTCTCCCTAGAAGACAGAAACCCTGTTGCTTTTCACAGCTAGATGTTATCTGGGTTCCTTTCTGGCTCTGGTGCTGTAGGCTGGGGAGCCCAGCTTGGGGTTTAGACCCCATATGACTCAGGGGAACGCCCCAGTTGCTGAAATATCCTTCAGGGTCCTCAGCTGCTACCCATGGGAGCCCAGTCTACCCTCTTACGCTACACTCCATACCAGTCACATTGTGTTGAAGCAGTTTCTTCTATCTCTCCTTGATTATAAGGCTTCTCTCAAGCTAGTGTTCAGTTGGTTATTCGGGATGGTTTCTGTTGGGAAATGCCCGGCCTGGTTTCAGGAGCTGTAATCCTGCCAACAGGCTGGGGAATCCCAAGGCTGGAAATAATCAGGAGGCCTTGGAGAAACAGGTTCCTGAGGAGACTTGGCCTGTCCCCTCACCCGGGCAGGGGCGTAGCCCCTGCCTCTCTGCTTTGCCAGGGATGGTCAATCAGCCAATGACAGGTAAGTGACCACACGCTGAGGTATACGACCTAAGACAGGCGTTGGCCTGATTTTGGCAGAAGAAATTGGCGGACACAGAGAAGGGGCGAAAAGGCCCCCTGCACCCCTCGGCTTGGCTTGGACATGGCCGGAGTCCTCATTGCAGCTGAGAAGCAGTCTCCTTAACCCTTGGTGGCTCCCTTCCCCTGCCCCCAGCTCAGGCTTGAAACAGTGCAGGAAAAATAGCCCTAAATCAGATCTGGTGGGTCCGGAGGTAATCAGGCCTAAAAGTAAATTTTTCAGAGTGTGCCCTGTTCCTCCCTCGGATCTCTGGTCAACTCATGCTGCGAAGGACCTTTATTTACACCCCTTACCTTGTTAAGACATTTGCTTTATTTACACCCCTTACCTGGTATCGTTAAAACATTTACTTTATTTACACCTTTTACCCTATATCTTTAAGGCACCTTTAAGTCTACTTTCCCTTTATCTATAGTCTCTCTTGTTGATTTTAGTCTCCTCTCGGACCCATGTAAATCAGTGTACTCCTGTCACTTGTCTTCTTAAAACCATCATATACTCACTGTGAAACTTACCATACTGATGTAATGAGATAACGTATGCATTCCTGTTACATAACCCACTGATAAGATTTTCAATAAAAGCCTTGGAACAAAGGACAATGGGGCCTTCCCCACTAAAGGGATGTGCCTTGGCCTTCTCTGGTAAGAGTGAAGTGCCCCGTCTGCTCCCCCAGCAAACAGAGAAGTGTTTGAGATGTTTTGTGTTTATTTCTCCCCATCGTAACAACTGCAGGACAGGCTCTGCGGGTTTTCAGAGCCTGCTCCCACCTCAGCTGGCCCCAACTGGTTTCCCTCAGGTTTCAGGGAGCACTGCGCTCTCTGCAGCGCTCCCCCGTGGTGGCGGCCCCCCTATAGCGCAATGCAACAAATTTCTCTACAATTCAGTTTAATTCCAGATTGGTCCTGGGAGGAGGTTAACGTAGGTTTCACTTACACCTCTGCCACGTTGGATCGAACCTCTGTTGGTTATTAGATCCTGTTTACAGTCCACTTTACAGTTTAACATATTTAACACTCTGAGCACCTTCTAATGGGCTGGTACTTTTGCGTATATTTTTTAAAAGCATAATTTGTAAATGTTACAAATTCCCTATCATATAATTGAAAACTGACTATATCCTAGGCAATATAGCCACACTCTAAACAACTGATATTTTAAGATGAAGAAATTTTTGTAAATACTAAATCAAAACCCAATTCAGAATCCAAACCACCAGAAAGTGCAGCCACAAACTCTTCACAATACATTTAACTTGCAGATATCACCACAAGCCTACGGACATGCCACTAACCAGTCTTTGGAACCCTTACTAAAAATACAAATTGAAACTAAATAATGCCAATAGTTAACCCTGGTCTAGTCTGGGGGCACACAAGCTCCTGATTTAAAGCCAGTCAAGACTCAAGCAAGTCCCAGTGCTCTGATTTAGTCAATAAATTATTGAAGGAGAAACATCAATTTTGTCATTCCACTTACATATGCATTCATTGGTTGTTGATTCTTTTATGTGCCCTGACCCAGGACAGAACCCGCCAACTTGGCATATTAGAACAACACTAACCAACTGAGCTACCCAGCCAGGGGCCACTCAATAAATTCTTCTTGAGCACCTGTTTGTGTACCACAATCAAGATGTTCTTGGTCCCATGGAATGCAGTTTTGTAGATGACACAAAGAAATTATAAGCAATTACAATAGGGATTTTTCATGCTGACAAGTGGTACAGTGGCTAGCTATCCGTAACTCCCTTCCCTGTCTGGGCTTCATCCCTTCCAGAAAGGCAGTTCCCTATTACTTATTGAGAAGCCACTTACGACAACCTGAAATGTGGTTAACACAAGTGAACTGGATAGGGGGCAAAGCATTTCACAGCTCTACTAAATTTTAAGATACCCTCAAGTGGACCTTAGAACCTTAGAGGCTCTCAACTTTATCAGGTTGAGAGCCTTGGAGGCTCTCAACGTGTATTTTGAAAGCAAGCAGGCATGGTCATTCCAAAAACAAGCACATTCAGACTTGTACCTTTGATTACACAAATAGATGATATTCAACTACGGTATCTATTTTAACAAAACTCATTATTATGGGAAAATTTAAAGTGTTTGTAAAATCCAATAATCACATTCTTAAAACAATTCTAAACATTTGTTTAAACGTTCTAAATTCTAAATGTTTAAACATTTAGTAAATCATTTATTAAAAAAAATTTAAGTATACAAATGGATAGTAAATATATATCAGGCCCTCATGGGTGTGGCTAGTGGATTGCTCACCAGCCTGCAAACCAAAGTGTCATGAGTTCAATTCCCAGTCAGGGCACATGCCTGGGTTTGGGCCAGGTGCCCAGTTGGAGGTGTGCGAAGGGCAAGCAGTCGGTTATCTGTCACACATCCATGTTTCTCTCCCTCTCTGACTGCCTTCCTATCTCCCTAGAAATAAATAAATAAAATCTTTAAAAAAAAAAATTACGTTAGTAACGTATAGGCATGATGAGATCATTTGGAAAGATCTGAATATTTTATAAATAGTGTAATCATTGCCTTAATATACCCGATCTAATTTTTACTACTGTCCTCAGAAAAGATCCTTAATTCTATACTTGAAGTATTATAAGTCCCAAATTAATATAGCTTTACTGTATTTGAGGATACTCTTTGGCTAATAAATGCTTCAGCTATTTATTTTTTTACATATGTATATCAGGTAGATCATGTGTGTGGTTATTGTCTTAAAGTTTAATAAGTTGTCCTCACCTGAGTGTATACAACTATCATAAGTGGGAATAAAACACTGGGACCTTCAATCAAAATGTCTATTTTCACTATTTTGCTGATAATTCATAATTAAATATAAATCAAGATGTTAATCTATGCAGTTTGAGATATTTTAGAATCAGACCCTACCATTCTTAAAGTGATGCAAAATTTCTGGACAATTTAGAGCAATGTTGGAACATTTCCAACTAGTTTAAAATGTCCTTTTGTTTATTACATTTCTCAAATTACTTTGTGAATTCACTGGTTTCTAAAACTGGCCTTAGGCAAAGGTCTGAAACCTAAGTAACTTCCAGGAACCACAAAACCCAGGTCACAAAGGCATTTCAAAGTGTCATAGAAGTTCTCAATTTAGCCAAGAGATTGCACCAAATCCTGAAATTAGGTGCAGAAAAGAGCCTGATACACACGTTAAGATGCCTTGGTCTTAAAAAGTTGTGTCTGTGGGTAAATGATGGTTCCTCTCAAAGACTTCTCAAACTGACATCATTACCATCTATTCTTCACTACACTGGAGAAGCTGGAAAATAACGAACATTTTTACTTACATACTAAAATATAACTACCAATTTCTTTTTTTATCTAGATAGAGTATTTTACAAGGTTCTGAAAGAACAGAGAAACTAAGGATTGACAAGTTTAATAATATCTAAAATTTAAGTAATTAAATCTTTCACAAACTTTTTACATGAAAGGTACTAAATAAGTTACATTTAAATGTCCTACTTAAATTATTTTTTGGGGGAGGGAATGTTTCTATTACTAAGTGGTATCCATACAGTTGTAAGAAGGTAAAATAAAAAGAAGTCAAAGTGGACTTTTTTCTTAAAAGATCTTATCAGAGGCAGAAGTGATACACCGCCAATGAGAATATTGGCTATCTTCAAATCCATCCACAGCATGTTCAGAGGTATGTGGTGTTACAAATACCACAGCACTTTTTTTTCTTCTTCTTTTAAATCCTCACCTAAGGATGTGTTTATTGAGGAAGGGAAACATGGATATGAGAAATATCGACTGGGTGCTTACCCTATGTGCCCTGGCCAGGGTTCAAATGCACAACCTAGGTGTGTAGAGAATGGAAATCAAACACATGACACTCAGGTCCACAGGACAAGGGCCCCACCAATTGGGCATACGAGTCAGTAGGATCACAACTATGATCCTACTTAAATAAGCATGTCAACTAGGAGAAATAAGTTAATACAATCATTTGAATTGGTTGTCTACATACGGGGCATGGCTTATTTCTTTTTTTCAGCTTCTTCGCACATGTAAAGCATGCCATAAGATGTCCTGTTTTGCCATGGACAATGCAACCATTTTTAGGTCGGCCTTGGCAAATCACACAAGGTTCAGTGGCATTATTGGGAAAGTTAGATTCTACAATATCTTCTTTGTCTTGTGTGTCTTCTTTCTCAAACTCTTTGGTATCTTCTTGGCTACTATAAATCATGCTACTAGAAGTTGATGGCTGAGAAAAGTCATCACTTTCTTGGGATTGGGAGGTTTGTGTGATCTTTTCATCATTTTCCTCAACACATGATCCTTGGGAATCATTCATTGTATTTTTTCGACAATCCGGGACATCAAAGCCCTCTTCTACTTGTGTTGAGTTTTCTAGTTCAGTTTTCTCAGGCATGTTTCCTTTTTCCTTCCCTTTGTCTTCAGGAAGCCAATTCTCACGAAGGGCCCAACATCTGTTGCAATGTGATGGAAGGGGAGGATTCATTTCACTGCATGAAGTGCACTTCCAATAGTCCTTTGATGAAATAAAAGAGAGTTAGTTTTCATAATCCTGTAATCACTAAGTCATATTAACATTAACAACTTTAATATGTCTAAGGTAAAATGCATCACACAGCTCAGGTTTCAGCATTTCATGTTTTCTATAAAGCAGTCAACATGTAAACAGTCTTCCCTCAAATATGAAATTTTAAGTGTTCTTTTCCAGCTAAATGCTTAACCATGAACCTATAAAATTCTCAGTTGGAATACACAGATGGATGTACAGTTGGATCAGCAAGTTGAAGCAAGTGCTGTGGAATTGATCTTCTACTCTGTAATGAGAACTGTACACACTCCATTTCCATAAAGGCTCAACCCTGTATACCATGTCCATAGTCCAACCAATCAATCTAGATGAAACTACTGCTCAATCTGCCACAGATCCCCTTGGAAGCACTCTAAAACCAGGGCTCAGCTGAGTGTTCTCTAACTTCACTCTCAAACGCAATGCTAAAACATTCTTCAGCAATCACCACCAGCTGTAATCTGTCATCCTCGTCACTATCCAAAATGCATGCCCGTTACTTGCTTATCCTTTCCTGAGTTCTCAACTCTGTAACTGCTCATTGCTTTTACCTTATCTCAACTTATTTCCCTAAACTTTCCACCACGCAATCGATAAGAAACTCCCCTCACATCTCCAGCCTCTACTGAACATATCCTTTTCTCCTTGCCTTAACTGAAGCCTGGTTCTTACCTGAGGATGCTATATATGTAACACTTGCCAGAAGAGGTCCTGCCTATCTTGCCATGAATAATGTAACCATTTTTAAATTGCCCAACAAATGACATAAGACATTAGCAAGAAGAATGGAGAAGATTCATTCTCCCACATCAGTTCTTTCGAGTTGTTGAAGTAGATTTGTTTTAACTGATAAAACCACATACAAAGGTTTTATAATATCAAGGGTTGGTGGTGCTTGAAAAAGTTCAAAAATTTGCAAGATCTACATCTGAAACATTTCACTCACCTTGACATCAAATGAGTCTAGTTATTTGAGTTATTTTCTAATAGAGCAAAAAAAATTTCAAATATTTTACAATTTTCCTTTCAGACAAGATGGCAGCATAGTTGTAAATGTGGTACTGGCCTCCTCCCACAACCACATCAAAAGTACAACTGAACTACAGAACCATCATTCAGAACCACCTGAAACCTGGCTCAATGGAAGTCCTACAAGCAGGGAATTAAAGAAGCCACATCAAGACTGGTAGGAGGGGTTGGAGACATGGGAGGTGTCACACCCATGCATGTGACAGATAAAAATCAGGGGCAAAGGGACCCAGCCCAGGGTTCCAGTGCCAGGAAGAAAAGTCTCCATAACTTCTTGCTGTAAAAACCAGCAGGGATTAAGGCTGAGGGAAAGAGAGGGCTTCTGGTACGCCAGGCAGTATCTCTTAAAGAGCCTGTACACAGACTTATTCAAGCTCACTCCCTCTGAGTTACAATGCTGGGACAACAGCTTGAAAGGTTTCAGAAACATTCAGAGAGAAACTGAACTGCCTGGCATCAGGGTGAGAGCGGGGGGCGGGGGGGGGGGGCAACTTTCTCCTAGACAAAAATGCTGGCAGAGGACACTGTTCCTTTGATCAGCCCTCCCCTGACAGAGACCAGAGGTGGACACCATACCTGAGTCCCCATCAACCTGGCTCACACTGTTTACCCCACCCTGGAGATTCCCTAAAGCCCTGCCACACCTAACTTTTGGACCCACCCAAGCTCTTTCCAGTGGCTTTTCCATACTAATGGCTTGTCTTGGCTGATGCTTCAGATTTTCCTAAAATCTCTCAAACAAGCAGCACCTGGCCTTATTTTTCCCCATACCTCTCACTAAGTGGCCCCAGGCCCAGCACTAACCGCAGCCAGCCTTACTTTTCAGCCTGGCTTCGCCTGGGCACCTCCAAGCCCAGCACAAGTAGAACCTATCTACAAACCACTTTGTAGCTCATGCCCACTGGCCCAGAGCAGAACACAGGCAGTGGCTGACCTTGGACTGACCTTCCTAGGAGGCCCCAGAGCCAGTGTACCCAGTGGATATCTTCACACCATGCTGAAGCATCACCACCCAACCACATGCAACACACTCAAGGGGTGGACTCAGCAGGCACCAGAGCCTTGATGAAGTAAGTCCTGCTCTATGGGGTGAGTCCCTGCACAGCTGATCCATCATGGTGGTCAGAGTTAAGACAGTCACACCCAGTCCTCTCAGTTGATCAGACTGGGCATAAATTCCTCCCATAGACATGCTAACAGCAATCAAGGCTCAACTATCAGAGGAGTGTATACACAGCCCATACGGGAGTGCACCTGGAGAGCCCAGCTCAGGTGAATAGGGAGACTGAACCACTGGACCCTACAGGACACCTACTACATTAGGCCATTCTACCAAGCTCGGGAAATACGGCAACTCTACCTAATACATAGAAAACAAACATGGGGAGGCTGCCAAAATGAGGAGACAAAGAAACATGGCCCAAATGAAAGAACAGAACAAAACTCCAAAAAAGAAACAAAATGTAGACAAGCAATCTACTAAATGCAGAGTTCAAAACACTGGCTATAAGTATGCTCAATGAACTTAGTGGGAACTTCAATAGCATAAAAAAGGACCAGTCAGAAATGAAGGATATACTAATTGAAATGAAGAATCATTTACAGGGAATCAACAGCAGAATGGATAAAGCCGAGAATCAAATCAGCAATTTGGTATATAAGGAAGTGCAAAAAATCTGAAGAGCAAGAGGGAAAAAAAGAATCCAAAAAAATGAGGATAGTGTAAGACGCCTCTGGGACAAAAGCATACCAACGTTTGCATCATGGAGGTGCTGGGAGGAGGAGGGAGAGCAAGAAATTGAAAACCTATTTGAAAAAAGAATGACAGAAAACTTCCCTACCTCGGCGAAGAAAACAGACATACAAGTCCAGGAAATGCAGAATCCCAAACAGGATGAACTCAAAGAGGCCTACTTCAAGACACATCAGAATTAAAATGCCAAGGTTTAAATACAAAGAGAGTATCTTAAAAGCAGCAACAGAAAAGCAGTTAGTTACCTTCAAGGGAGCCCCCCCTTAAGACTGGTAGCTGATTTCTCAACAAAAACTTTACAGGGCCCAGAAGAGATTGTCAAGAAATATCCAAAATGATGAAAAGCAAGTAAAACCAAGAATTCTCTACCCAGCAAAGCTATTATTTAGCATCAAGGACAGCTAAAGAGCTTCTCAGACAAAAAAAAAGCTGATGGGATTCATAATCACCAAACCAATATTGTATGAAATGTTAAAAGGTCTTTGTTAAAAAGAAGAAAAAAAAGGATCAAGTATGAACAGCCCTGGCTGGGTAGCTCAATTGGTTGGAGCATCATCGCAGTGCACCAGGATTGCAGGTTCAAGCCCTGGTCGGGACACATGCAGTTTATGCATCAATGGGTGGAACAATAGGTCGATGTCTGTCTCTCTCTCCCTGTCCCTTCTCACCCTCTCTCTCTAAAATCAGTTATGTAAACCTAAATTAAAAACATGAACAGTAAAATGGAAATAAATACCTATCAACAATTGATTGTAAAAAACAAAATAAACAAATATATATATGACATTTTGATGGTTGCCAAGTGAGAGGAGGTTTGAGGATAAGTGAAAAAGGTGAAGGGATTAATCAGTACAAATTGATTTTTGCAGAATAGTCATGGGGATGTAATGTACAGAGTAGGAAATATATAGTCAATAACATTGCATGCTATCAGATGGGTCTAGATTTATGAGGATAATCAATCACTTATAACTTATGTAATGTCTATTCACTGGGGTGTACACCTGAAACTAATATAATAATGTATGTCAACTGTAATTGAAAAATAAAAATGATTTAAAAATTTTTTTAAAGTTTACAATTTCACTTTTGCATCTGGATAATTGTTTCCAACTCAGAAAGAAAAATGAAATTTCCTATTCAAATATAAAAGGCAACATTAACAAAAATTAAAGCAAATATTCAGTTCATAAAATTTTCAGGCCCTTACTGGTAAAGCTCAGTGGACTGAGTGCTAGCCTGCGAACCAAAGGGTCTGAGGTTCAATTCCCAGTCAGGGCACATGCCTGGGTTGCAGCCTGGGTATCTGGTTTGAGCGTGTGAGAGGCAGCCACACATCAATGTTTCTCTCCCTCTCTTTCTTTCTCCCTTCCCCTGTCTCTTAAAATAAATAAATACAATAGTTTTAAAAAATACTTCCAATACCTCAGAAACCCAATGAAGCATGCAAAGTTTAAGTCCTGATTTCTTTAATGGCATATCCTACCATATTCTAATACAAATACTATGAAAATGTTTATATTCCACAAGATTGGCAAAATGGCCCTAGCTGGGATGGCTCAGTTGGTTGAGTGTTTTCCTGCAAACCAGAAAGTCCTGGGTTCGATTCCCAGTCAGGGCACATGCCTGGGTTGCAGGCCAGGTCCCCAGTAGGGGGTGCTCAAGAGGCAACCACACATTGATGTTTTTCTCCCTCTTTCTCCCTCCCTTCCTCTCTCTAAAAGTAAATAAATAAAATCTTTAAAAAATATATGTAAAATACAGATGTATACATACTTACAGCTAAGGAAATTTCAGGATCGTCTTCAAATGAATCTGTATCACTCTCCCCTGCTTCATACACAGTTACTTGATATACCTAGTAAAATAAATCCACTATTTTTTTCAACCAGGAAGGCTTCTTAGCAGTAAGTCCTAAACAAATAGCATATATAACCATCTAGAAATTCTGAGACAAAGTTCAAATCAATGATGTATAAAAGGGAGAAATGGAGATGAGTGAAATCTTGAGCGACCATGGTAAAAAGTCAGACAGGGTGTTTAAAATGAATAAAGGAAGAAATTCAATATTAGCATCTTATTTTATAACTATGGAGGTATTAAATAACAATGAGTTAGCCAGAAATGTAGGCAACAAATCTAGAGATACTACGTGATTTTATGCAACGACATGCATGCTTTACTTTTGTAAAAAGTAAATTAATATTAACGGAGGGGAACTGAATTAAATATTTTTTAAAACCAGCAGACTATTATAGCAATGCTCATTAAGACCTACTTACTTTTTGGCATATTTATAAAAATATAAATAAGACAAGGAACTACAAAGCCTCAAATTCACATAACAATATTCTAACTTGAATATATCAAGCTCAAGTATTTCAAGTAAAATCTGAATGCATCATTTCAATCTCATCAATCAACAAATATGAAAAATAATTTAAAATTTTTAGAATACAGTTAAGAGGAAAAAAAACTACCTCATCATCTTCTTCGGAGAGGTCTTGTCCTTCTTCACTAAGGTTATAATCTTCAGAGTTTAAAGACTCGACTTCAAATTCTACACTGAATCGATCTGACACTGAATCGTGATCCAACCAATCACCTGACTGTTCACTTACACCAGCATCAAGATCCTAAAATCAAGGGGAAAAAGTGACATTGTAACATTATTTGTTGGCCTCTGAAACAGCTTCCTAAATTACATCCTGTATCTCTAATTCTTCCTTAGTTCTATTTTGCACACTGACACTAGATTAAGATTCTAGGTCATTACTATTCAATACATTATTTTCCCTGTTCAAAATCCCATTACATTAAGGAAAAGGGCCAAATCTACTTGGTATTCTAGGCACAATACAGTTTGACTATATTAACATTTTTAGCTTTTCCCCAACAAGACACTCTCCCCTAAAAAATATTAACTATCAGTCAGATCTACATTGTTTCCTAAACCAAGCTTGGCACTTCAACTTCCACTTCCCTCTGTAACTGCAATAATGAGTTTTTAGTCCTGCTCACCCTTTTTAGCCTAAGCCTCTGTCAAATCATAACTAAAAGAGCTCCCTGAATCTATTATCTTTACTACTTAGATATTATTTATTATATCTCCCCACATAAATTATGCAAAACATAATTATGCACACTTTTAAGAGTTAAGACCATGTCTTAATCATCTTTGTATCTTCAGGTTGGTAAGAATGCTAGTAGCTACTACAAAGCAATAATTATGAGATTTCTGTTTTATAATGAACTTTGAGAATTTCTTTGGAAGAGCTTCCAGAAATTTTTTGAAAACTTTTTCAAAAAATTTTCAGAAAAAAAATTCTGTGCCTGATCATGTGATTCCTCATTTTAGGTCTCTAATTAATAGTATAAGAACTTCCTTCCTGCTATAGACCTACTGTAGAAATGGGCAAGTTTATGAAAGCCTGGAAGATAGTGCTGGTCCTGGCACATGCTACTCTGGACGCAAAATGGTCAACGTGAAGAACAGGACCCCAGACTGCCCCTATAACAATGCTCTGGTGGCTGGAATTGACTGTTATCCCTGCAAAGTGACAGCTGCCAAAGGCAAGAAGAAAACTGCCAAGAGGTCAAAGAGCTAGTCTTTCATTAAAGTTTATAAATTACAATCGCTCATGCCCACAAGGTACTCTGGATATACCTTCGGACAAAACTGTCATCAACGAGGAAGTCTTTAGAGATCCTGCTCTGAAACACAAGTCCCGATGGAGGCCAAAGGCAAGGCTGAAGAGAGGCACAAGACCAGCAAGAACAAATAGGAAGCTGTGGTTTTAGATGTGGCTTTTTTGTTTCCGTTATTAGAAATTTTTTAAAAAGAAAAGCATTAAGAGCCTAATAAAATCTTCAGTCTTAGAAATTGCTGTCAATGGGTAAGGGTAGGAACATATGCAAAGCAGAAGGCTACAACTAGAAAAAGTCCATTCAGTAGGAATCAGGATACATACGTTCTTATTCTTGCCATTAAGTGGCGATTAAACCTTGGACAGATTTAACCTGTAAAGGCCACAGCTACTTCATCTATAAAAGGAATTTGACTTAAATGATCTCTAATAAATTTCTATCATTTTTTAAAACAAACTATATTATTTTATAACCACTAAAGTCATAATACTGTTTTGTTTTTTTACAGTGAGGTTAAGAAAGCAGTGGTAAAAGCAGCATTTGTCAAGTTGCAGTTCTAACTCCTAAGGAGGGTTCTGTCAAACAATGAGGTTAAATTCAAAAGCCAAGCTATAACACTTTTAATGAAGTAACCTAACAATGGATATTTCAATTGATTAGTCTTTAGCACACTAAGTTTGGACTAACGGGGTAAATCACAAGAAAAATTACATCTCAGAAAGCATCCCCTATGGCAGGGGTCAGCAAACTGGCCCACCACCCACTTACTTTTATAAAGCTTTATTGATCACAGCAACACCCAGTTGTTTACCTGTCATCTATGGCTGCTTTTGCCTTATAGCAATAGAATTGAGTAGTTGCAACAGAGACCTTATGGCCTGCAAAGTCCAAAATAATTAGTACCTGGCTCTTCACAGAACAAGTTTGTCCACCCTGGTTCTAAAGTATTTGAAGAAAGCAATATTAAAAGGTTTTTAAAGTTCTGGCTACTGTTCAAAAAAGTATGACCCAGAAACTTTAAATACTGTATATTTAAAAAGCATCAGATGGGCTTATCTGGAAAGATATTAAATTTTTAAGTCAGAAATCCCTAATTTTATCTGAATTCTAATTGTGACAGTTATTATGAGATCATAAGTTATTTGAAACCCTCACCTCTTAGTTTTTCCATCTATAAAGGTTGGGGCAGCTGAGAAGATAAATTAGATATCATGTAAACTGCCTGGTAGAGAGCCTAGAATATGTAGCTTAAGTTCCACAAGTTTATTAAACTGAAAAGATGAACGAGAAATGCACTTTCCTTTAACTCCATTTACAACTTCGTGAATGATGACACCAAATGATAACTGTAACACTCTTATATGAAACAAACAAACAAAAAATTTTGCCCTACTGAAACCTTTTACAACGAAGGACTTAGACTAAAAAACAAGATTTCTAACAGAGAGGGATTTTTAGGATACGAGTAACCAAAAAACAAAAACAAAGATTTCCCTCTACATGGCTTTGATAACAGGCAGTGGTTCCAGGAGGAAAGCAAGAACAAGGACTTTAAATATAATTTAACTAGAATTCTGAAAAAGAAAATTAAAAAAAATTTTTAGCAGGAGATTGCAAGGAATAAAATCCAAACATGAAGGTTGTATATATGTCAAGTTTTTTTTTACTGGATTCTATCTTCAGATCACATATATTTGCTTTCAAGAGTCTGTATTTTTTCATAGCATTTACTAAATGTTTTATTTGTTAACTGCTGATGTTCTATCAACATCAACATGAGGGCAGGAACCATATCTACCTTGATGACTACTGTATCCCCAGTGCCAAATAGAACCTGACACTTATCTACTGAATAAATTTGCTCTCCTCCTGCCATCTAGTGGCCAACATAAGTAACACCTCTATTAAATACTAATTGTAGAGTTCATATCTGTAGCCATAAAAATCACTGTTATGGAAGAGAAAAATAAAGATAATACATGCAACAAGAACACATAAAAAGAATAGGGTTACTATCACAATTGGTTCAGTCTCATATCTTCTAGAAAAATAAAAAAGGATCGTGCAGATCCAGAACACTGATCATGAGGCACTGCCATATCACAAATAAATGTTCCAATTTTAATAACATTCCAAAGACCAGTATTTCATGACAAGAAAAAATATCACATTGTCAAGTCCTCTTGGTAGCAAAAACTTCTTTCAGTGACATCTCTTAAGAATTTTATTCCTGGCTAATACTTTGGAATTTTTATTATTCAAAACTACAATATTTTTCATCCATGCAATAATATACTGCATTTCACTGCATAAGTAAACAGATCTTCCTGATATCTAGACCTACATATGGCAAATGTGAAGCTCAGACTCTGCCAACTTATTTTCTGACAACTATACTAAAAATACATATTTTTATTCTAAATTCTCGACCAATTTGCCTTAAAATCCTAAAATATCTAACTGAATCAAATTTTAATTTTTGTTATTTAAAAAAAAACTTCTAAACCCTCAGACTATACTCCAATTTATTTGAATTTACTATTGGAGCAGTGGCTCACAAAATTCTCCAATATGTAGGGTGAAATTAATAGCTATTAATGTCGTTACTAATATTACCAGCACACCCCAATGCAACTCCACTATCTTACATCATTCTCCCCCAAACCTAGGGTTAGGTTGGGGAAGATCTACATAAGTTTATTTGAAAAAAAAAATTTACCAAGCACATTTGAGATCTTGCTCCCTGGAATATGCCATCAGTTTGGCTTAAATGAACTCATAAAAATTCAAAAAAAAAAAAAAAGTAAGAAAAAATTATTTTATCACTGTGTATAGCAGCAACCACGTATCATACATGAGCATTCTATCTGAATGCTTACTAGAACTGCCAAGATTAGATTTTAAAACTAAGTCTAATTAAAATAAGTCATGTTTTATTTAAACAAGAAAATTACCGGATTTGATGGAGTCCCTGCGGATTCACTGCTACTGCTTCTTTCACAACGTATTTCCCTTATTACACACAGAGCAAGGCTTTCATCAAAGGAAAAGGAAATACTATCAGATTTGTGGCGCTTCCTTTGACGTTCACCAGGTAATTCATCTGAGTTTTCTTCTGGATATGTAAGGAAGAACAAGATAATTAAATAGCCACACAGATTTATTTAGAAATTGAGCTGTCATTTGTACTAAAACTTAGCTCTAATGAAATTAAACTACTGTTTCAAAAGTGAACACTCTTTCATTGGCTCTGCACAATAATAGCAGAATACTATTTTAAAAAGCTTTTCAAGCTTCTTTCAGAACATTATCTCCAGTAAGTCACAATTTAATCTTTCCACAGCTTGTATTAAACAAACAATCTAGGATTTGTCACAGCAACTCTTAAGATACAAAATTTTTTCTGTGAAAAAATACAAAAATGTTTAATATACTTAGAAGGTACATCTGGAATTTACTTTGGCATAAGTTACAAATATAAATTGACTCCCCGCCCCCCCCAATAACTAACCTTTTGTTCCAGTCCCATGTATTTTGTAAGACATGCTCTGCCCTTACTCCCCTCATATACAAGATTCTAGTATGGGTTTATCTATTCTGTTTCACTGATTTTCTTTCACTCAATTCATAGTTTTAGTTACAATGACTTCTGATTAGACAACGGCTTTCTCCTCCACTGTCTTTTCTCTGCAAAAATGCTCAGCTATTTTCTTTATCTCATATTTATTTCTAAGATGCTATTTATTTACCATTTTAAAACTCACTAATGTTTTATCACATTAACAACAATTAAATATTTTAACTGCTAAGGTAACTAGGAATAATGAGTAAACCGGAGTTTATATCCTTGTCCTCTATTATCTTGAATAGAGAGCCAGCTAACTATAAAATCCAGCGAGCACAATAAACCGTGCTTGCTGTAGTCAGTCAACCAGAAAAATGTTGCTAAGAAAGCAATTTTTAAACCAAATAAATCACATAAAAATGAAAATGAAACACAGAAATTTATTCATCTAACCAAAAAGGCACAATTTCAGTAAGCCTAAATGTACTAATTTCATTAGAAAATGAGTAAAAATTGTTTGAAAATGACAATTAAATATTCATATATACCCGTCTCACTGATTGTTCTCCTTCTAGATGAGGTAGATGGTCTAGAAACCGAATCTGAGGATGAAGGTTTCTCTTCCTGCAGCTCTTGCACAGAGTCCTACAAATTAAAGGAAAAAAAGACCCACAAACTTAATTGGTAACACCAGAAAGCTAATTTCTAATTTTAATAAGCTTCCCCATTTTCAAGAATCATACCAGAATAAATTAATTTCAAGATTACCTTTTGATCACTCCCACCTTCGAGGTGACACCTGTTTTCACTCCCAGACGTGCCTGAATCAGATGGTTCTGAGAGAAAATAAAAACAGAAAAGCACAAACTAAGAAAGGGCGACTGCTTACACAATTTAACATTTCAACAAACATTAAACATGTGTCTCCCAGGTGCCATCCCTGTACCAGATTCCGGAGATGTAAATAAGATCATGCAATTTTAATATAGAAATGCATAAGAATAATTATAAGGTACAGCAAACACAATACAAGTGTAAGATAAATCAGTGGTAAAGAAGAGCAATGATTATTTGGTAGAGACCAGGCAGCATCTGAGGAACCAGAAATCAGGAAAGTTTCCATTTAAGATGTAGAAGTAGGATTAGGAAAGGTCATTTCCAGACCGAGGGAACACCGCGTTAAAAAAAAACATCTGCAGGTGAACTACGGGAATCGCAGGATCGCAGAGGGTCCTGTGTATCTTACTGAACAGCAAGAGGATGTGAACAGCAAGGAGTACTCACGCAGGCAGTCCTGCTTCAACAGACCCTTTCCAGCGGCTCCTTCAGAATCTCCCCTACAGCCCTGCTACAGCCACTCCCCATGAAAATGTTTGATCCAAGAGATAAAAGTGACTTGCTAGTGTACAAGCAAGTTATTTTATCCAGAGAGCAACAAGGAACTCCTCACTAAACAGTATTTTAAGGACAGGAATGACAAATCACTCGGGCAAAATAGAAGGAAAAGAGAGCAGAGGCAGGAAAACCAGTATGAGATAGTAACTGCAATAATGCAAATGAAAAGGTATTAAAATCTAAACTAAGGCATGGAAAAAAATCAATTTTGGAAGAAATTAAAAAGGTAAAAACCAGGGTGTCTGATATACCAGGCAAGAGAGAAAGGAGCTAAGGATTCCAAGATTTTACCTAAGACAGAAACTGCAGACAACAGATTTGGATGGGAAGATAGTGAACTGAAGGGGATGAAACTCATTCAGGTCGGTGAGTGTAGTTTGTAATTTGATGTGTAAACAGAGAGCTCAAAAAGTCAAAGTTCCAGATATAGAAGTTACCAAAGAACATAATCAAACGCACTTTACTGCTCCCTCTAAGACATTTTCACCTAACAAAGAAGTCAGACCTGAGCATTAACTATTTGAAATTTTATACATTCTCATAAGTTTATTTCTTCTTTATATTAAGACAAAAAGGTATTGTATATTTTAAGTTGTACATATACATAGGTTATATTTATTTAAATATACTAGATATTACAAAACAGATGTAATTAAAAAAAAACAAAACACAACACTAAGTACGACCAGGTTTAGAACACTGAGTTCTGAAGTTAATGCTACTCAACTGAAACCTAAAACAAATTCAGGATGTTTTTTTCCTAAGTAATCTACAAGTTACCATCTCACTCATAACATTTCCCTTGCAGTCAACCAAAGTTTATTTATTCTTTTTGTTCATTTCAAAATTCTACCAAAGTTTATGTAAAAGAATGAATATCACAAATACTTCAGAAAACTGAAAATACTATTACAGATACTATAGTTGTTTATTTGCCTTTATTTGATTTCATAAAGAGCTTTGTAAAACACTAGAGTCACCAAACTAATAATCACTTCTATTCCAGGATAAGACAGATGGTGATGCCCTTTTCTGCATCTTAAATCCTAACTTTGGAAGAATAAATATCCAACATATTTACTAAACACATTAATAAAACACTGTACTGCATGTGTGTGTTTGTGCGCATGTGCATATGATGAAGAATGCAGACCTAAAGAGCGTACAGAAAAGAGAAATATAAACTATTATAACAAAACAATATAACAAAATTTACATACAGAATAGTGGGAGCAAAAAGGAGTGGTCAGTTCATCCTGGGAAGTAAACAAGCTTCTGAAAACAGTTCTTAATTGACTTTCTAGGACGGGCTTTCAGAAATCTGTGGTGTACTGGAACTAGCTCCTGGCATCACTCAAAACAGACTGCACATTTCTTCCCAATTCTGTATGTTTGTAGCCTGAAAATGGCCATGGTAAAAGTATTTATGCCGTGGAAACCAGCAGCTACTACAAATCAGGCCTTTCCCGCTGGACAGTGGGTTGTTAAACATTTACCAGCATACCACCATATGTGTGTATCTTTCTGGAATGAGAACCCAGCACTTTGGTCAGATTATTAAAGGGATAAGTGACCCCAAAATAACCAGTTAAGGACAAGTCTAAGGGTAGAAAAGTAAAATGCCACTTACCTAAACAAACTTGTAAGCAAAGCTTTGTCTCTCACAAAAGTCAAAAAACGAAAAACAAAAAAATACCTACCCTTTCAAATGGTCCTACCTTTCAACTACCCAAGCCTTTTGGTACATTTCAGGTTTGATTACATCTCTATTAAGCAGGAGGTATTGAAAACGATCTACCTTTCAAACAAATTCTAACTCTAATATCCCAAGGCTTAAGCTGATGTAACAGGACATTTAACCTTATATAGAGTAAATATGTATTACTGAACCTTAGTATTATGTTTGGTTCATATATATTTCTTCCTGTTAAATTTATATTATTTCATTAAAAGTAAACATATAACTAAAGCATCTGTTAAGGAGACTCTCAATTATAAAATGAATGGACATGCACAAATGCCTTTAAAATATTTTTACGATATATGTTTATGGTATTCAAAAATTAACTTACCCTGCTGATTGACTACTACCAAGTTTCTGTAGATCATTGTATATATTTTCCTTAAAGGGAGAAAACAAGAAGAAATATACATTTTAAAATAAAGATGTATTAAACTGGACTTAATCAGACTTTATGAATTACTATAAACAAATCAAATTCTTTTGCAAACCAAATTTTATATCACTGCATTCACATTATATGAAGCTTCTAAATCTTAAAAAAGCACCACAATTAGTTGCAGAATGATTACATACAGATACTTTTTCCAATAGCTAAGGTCTCTCAAGCTGAAAGATTTTATGTCTCTTTCCTGAAATGTGCCTTGTTTGGACTTTACCAAATTACTCCAGAGAATGGGTATGAGTGCAGAAGGCAGGATACTGTATATACTTTAATTCAAATAGAAATTTTCAAGCTCTGTGCTTAGAAGTAGACTACCTAAAAAAGTAGTGTTACACAAAACCCACTATAGAAACTTAATTATCGTTTTGACTTTATTAACCTGGGACCCGTAATCAAATGGATTTTCTTTCTTGATCTTAAAATGTATTAAGGATAAAGCAGTATTCATTCATTTCATAAATACAGACTGAGAAGCTACTACATACCAATCACTGTTCTAGAAACTGGGGGAAACGAATACAATACAACCAAATCTCTTCTCTCATGGAACTTACATCCTAATAGGAAGACAATTCACTTATTCCAGCATTCATTGATGTCACAGTATTTTTTTTAACTAATGATTTTAGAGAATGTTTACTGGTCACAAGATATCATTTCTAATTCTCAAGGTTAAGGGGGAAGTGACAAACCCAAGTATTTCTTTTTACCCTCAGGACTGATGATACAGCTCCTTAAGCTCACAAAAATCAATATTCCTACTGATATCCTTTTTCCAAGTGAGTGTGTAACCTCTCAGCATACAAAAATTCAAGTCAAAGATAATTTTAATATCATAAATTACACCTCAAAACATTATCAGAATATTCAGTACTCAAATGGTGCAAAATCACTGATAATTATTTCTTTTTTTACATTTTTTATTGATTTTAGAGACAGAGGACAAGGGAGGTGTGAGAATGGGGGGGGGAAGGGAGAGAGGGAGAGGGAAATGGGGAGAGAGAAAGAAAGAAACATTGACTTGTTGTTACACTTATTTAAGTATTCATTGGTTAATTCTTGTATGCACCCTGACCGGGACTCAAACCCACAACCTGAGCATATCAGGACAATGCTCTAACCAAGCTACACAGGAGGGCTAGTTACTTCTTAAATTTATAAAATTAAAGCTTATAGCCCAAGGTCAAGTGTAAAATGATAATATACACAAATATTAAACAAAAGCACTTTCTCAATGGAAGATGCTTGTGTGTTAAAATATGTAGGAGGATGAGTCCTGAGTGGTGTGGCTCAGTTGGTTGGAGCATCATGCCAATGTTGAGGGTTCGATTCCGGGTCAGGGCACACACCTAGACTGCTGGTTTGATCCCTGGTTTTGGCGCATGTGGGAGGCAACCAATTAATGTTTAATCGACGTTTCTTTCTCACAGGGTGTCTCTCTCACCCTCCCTCTCTCACTAAAAGCAATGAAAAAAATGTTCTCAGGTAAGGATTAAAAAAGTTTTTTAAATAAAGGTTTAAAAAAAAGCAGGACAAAATTAAATATATTATGTTCACAACGAGGTCAAAACACACATCTGCACATTACATAAAAATGACAGGTAAAAAATACCTTTCAATGACTAACTATAGTCAATTATCCTTGTTCTCAGCTTTCCATGTTTTCTTAATGTTTAACAATAAACTTATATTATGCTTATATTAATGAAGTTGTTTTAAAGTTACAGATGTCCCATTTAAGTACCATCCTTTTAGCTTTATTATTATTGAGCATTAAACACAAGTAGAATTTACTTAATTCTTTCAGATGAAAAGTATTCACCCCATTTATTAAGATATAAATGCTAAGGCCCCCATATAGACTGAGATAAACCAAATGGGACAAGATTTCAAATGTACGGTATGAATGACCAAAAAGTCTTCAGTTCACAGTAGAATAATTCCCAAAATGTTACATGAATTAAATTCAGCTGATTAAGTACCATAATGGTATACAAGAAAAGGATTTCCAGCCCTGGCTGGTGTGGCTCAGGGGATTGAGTGCCAGCCTGCGAAAAAAAGAGGCGCCAGTTCAATTCCCAGCCAGGGCACATGCCTGGGTTGAGAGCCAGGTCCCCAGAAGGGGGCCCTCAAGAGGCAACCACACAGTGATGTTTTCCTTTCTCCCTCCCTTCCCCTCTCTCTAAAAATAAATAAAATCTTTAAAAAAAAAAGTAAGAAAAGGATTTCCAAGGTAACTAAAGCTCAAATTTAAGTGTTTATCACAGGGTTGAAAAAAAAAAACTTTGGAAGAGACTGCAATATTTTTTAATATTCAGTAACTATAGCTAATATTTGAATACTTTCTATGTGCCAAACAGTATGCTTTTTGCACAAGGTCTTTTCATAACCTCCACATGAAGTATTTATATTATTTCTACTTTATAAATGATAGAAACTAAGGTTTAGAGAGGATTAAGTCAATTTACATAATTACACAGCTAGTAAATAAATGACTGAGCTAGGTCTGAAACCCAGGTTTTTAAGATTTTAGAACTCAGGTTCTCAAACAATATGCTATATTGCTAAGAAATTAAATTTTAGCATCTTTTATATATATTATAACAATCTTTTTCTGACCAAAGAGAATGAGAATGGAGTCGAACAGAAAGGTTTTCCCAGCTAGCTTTTTACAATGAACTAAAATGAAGAATTTACCTGTGTTCTTTCACAGAGAAACTTGGCACTCCAAACAAATCCCCCAGAAGATCATTTGAACAATACACAATATGCTGTTGCTTCTCATCATATAATCTTTTACTCATAATATACTGGCCAAGATAAAATATAACCTGAAATAGAAATATGATTTCTAAGCATTAAAGAAAATTAAATGTTAGTTTCAAACACATTCAATAACATTTATCTGAAGAGGGTTAAACAACCAGCAACCACATTCACAACCATCTAGAATAAAAACCCTTTAAAAAGCTGCTTTTAAATCTTTTCCTTTTAATTTGATGGAAGCAGAGACATTGCTTCTGATTTAGTTAAAATGTATTTTTTCAGACCTTAACTCTGCCCACAAAACTAGGTACTATACATATGGAAGGAAAAAGGCAGCAGAATGCTAGTAAGACATTAGTTATCTCGATAACTCTCAGTTAAGCTTACCTCTTTCATAGTGTAAGTGTCTTTTTGTGCACCAACAGATTTTAACAACTTCAAAAGCAATGGCTTTGGTCTAACCTATAAAAAACAGAGTTGCTATTATACTTCCAAAATTATTACAGAACTATAAGCCCCATTGCAAATATGTCCATAATTTCAATAAAGGTAGCAGACTATATTTAACAATCTTATTAGGTTATACTTCAAAAAAATAAGATATAATGTTTTCACTAAATGTAATAGGCTATATAAAATGATTATCATAGACTGTCTAGGAAGTTTGAAAAAAATTCTGGGACCTAATTATTATGCAAGTACTGCCAAGAGTTGCCATCTAAAAGCAGTATCCATGCCAATGCAGTGAAAACTTTTTTTCCTCCAGTTATTTCTGTTATTTGCTTACTACCTTACAAACTCAGACATAAATAGAATATTCTGTTGGGAAACGCCCTGTCTGGTTTTAGGAACTGTAACCCCGACGACAGGCAAGAGGATCCCAAGGCTGGAAATAATCAAGGAGGCCTTGGGAAAACGGGCCACTGAGGAGACGAAACCTGTCCCTCTGGCAGGGGCACAGCCCCTGTCTTCCTCACATCACCCTGCTCGGCCCTGTGATGGTTGGTGATCCATGGCAGGTAAGTATTCTCACGAGGAGAAACAACCTAAGACAGATACCGGCCGGTATGGGCAGCAGACAAGGAATTGGAGGACATGGAGAAAGGGCACAAAGGCACACAGCCCTCCGCTGGGCATGGACATGGCCGGAGTCCTCATTCTCTCTGAAAGGAGTCTCCTTGTCTCTTGGCAGCTCCCTCCCCTCACCTGGCTCAGGCTCGAAACAATACCGGAGACAGCCCTAAACTGGATCTGGCGGTTCCCAGGGGAAATCAGGACTAAAAGTAAATTCTTTAAAGTGTCCTTTGTTTTTCCCTCAAAAGATGATAGCCAGCTCATGCTGGGAAGAAAATGTACATTATTCACAGACCCTAACCCTAGACCCTGCGGCACTCCTGTGTTTACTATACTCTCCTGTTTAGTCATCTCTCTTGTTTACTAGTCTCCTCTGGGACCCATGTAAATGGGTGTGCTCCTGCCATTTGTTTTCGTCAAAACATTATCTCTGTAAACATTAACATACTGATGTAATGAGATAACCTGTGCATTCCTGGTACCTAGCCCCACCGACAACCCTTTCAATAAAAGCCTTTGAACAAAGGGTCTTGGGACCTTCCCCACTAGGGGGAAGAGCCATGCCCCTCTCTTGGCAAACAGAGAAGTGTTTGCGATGACTCGTGTTTATTTCCCGCATCCCCTCCATCCGTGACACTCCTAGGTCAGACTCTGCGGGATTCAGCGCCCCCTCTCCCATCTCAGCTGGCCCAGGAGGGTAACCCTCAGATCCCGGAGCGCCGCGCTCCCCGCGACACGCTCCATCCCCCGCGACAGCTGCCGCCCAGACCAGGGGTGAGGCGGCGCTCCCCATTTGACAATACTTCAAAGAGCTTCCTATAAACTAAATGACGAAATCCAGGACAAATAAACAAATCTTTAGTGTTGGGCCTTTTTCCAACCTTTTTCTTTTACAGATTAGGTTCCTGAAGAAAGAAGAATTTAAACAGCCAAACCAACGTGACAAGATCATTAACAGCCATCTGAGACTGCAATTTATTTTCTTCAATTACAAGCCACCATTTTCTTCCTACTATATCATGCTGCCTCTTAGTTGGTCTCCATTTCAATTACCTATTTGACGAACATTTATTGAGCTTCTACCAAGCACCATACAGTGATAGGTATTGCTAAAAAAAGAAAAATATACGACCTGTACTCCAGACACCAGTCAACTAGACTAAAATTCAGGGGAGCCAAATTTTGCTACCCTGAAGCTGCTTTTTGGGACACTGATTTTAAGCTGTTTATTAAGAAACAAAAGACTCATGCCCTGGCTAATGTGGCTCAATGGACTTAGTGCCAGCCTGCGAATAAAAGGATCGCCGGTTCAATTCCCAGTCAGGGCACATGCCTGCGTTGTGAGCCAGGTCCCCAGTAGGGGGCGGGTGAGAGGCACCCACACATTGATGGTTCCCTCTCTTTCTCCTTCCCTTCCCCTCTCTCTAAAAATAAATACAATCTTTAAAAAAAAAAGAAACAAAGACTCCGATTTTTCAACCCTCCCCACTCTCCTTCCTACCCAAAAGATTCAGACAGGAAAAACTGCTTCAGGAAGGTGATCATAGAATGTAGTCTTAGCCTAATTTGAATTAAGTGTAGTAAATACAAGGGCTTTCGGGGAAGGTCCTGGTAGCTATATATACCGTGTCCCATTGTTTCTGAGTTGCCTAGTAAGAATTTTCTTTCAAAGTTAAATGTGTTCTCCACTCTTCCTCAACTACCTGTAAACTGCCCATTCTCACTTCTGAAACCTAATTACCCAGTCCTGCCTTTTCTCCTTTGTCCAAAAATATCTTATATATCCAATGTTGTCTCACTGTTTTTGGAATTTTCATGCTTATGTGAATTCCCAATGCCCATGTATTAAAACTTTGATTTTCTCCTGTTTATCTGTTAATTTCTTAGCCCAGGCATAAGAACTTAGAAGGTAGGAAGAAAAGCATTAATATTTTTTTAGTCCTACACTGTTACAATCTTTTGGTGAGCTAGCAAGCTATGAGTAGCAATCAAGTATGTATATAGTTTAAGACCAGAGTTCTACTATAAAAATCTTTCTTACAGAAATACTCAAGTAAAACATGTTAGGATATGTGTACAAAGCAGCACTATTTTGATACTCAAAAATTAAAGGCAAATGAAACTTAGTGAAGGCATAAATTTGTTATATGATATACTGTTATGACATACCATGCTATTAAAAACAATTTTGCAGTCCTGGCTGGTTTTGCTCAGCCGGCGAACTGAAAGGCCACTGGTTCGTCAGGGCACACGCCTGGGTTGCAGGCCAGGTCCCTAGTTGGGGGCCATGCAAAAAGCAACCATGCACTGATGTTTCTCTCCCTCTCTTTCTCCCTCCCTTCCCTTCTCTCTAAAACTAAATAAATAAAATCTTTCAAAATTTTTAAAAAAATAAATACATAAAACAATTCTGTAATTTTGACATAGATGTACCTCTAATTTAGTTTTACTAGAAAAGGAAAATAACATTAAAATTCATGTACGTGTGTGTATATATGGGTATATATAGTTTTAAAAATCTAACAGACATGGTCAAAAAACTAGAACTTTCAGTTGTTACTTTCTACATTTCTGTAATGCATAAACTCTACAAGCATGAACTACTTTTGTGACTTCGGAACCATTTAAAAAGTTAAATACTAACGAGTCAAAATAGAAAAAAACTGTCACTTAATAAACTTCAGCATCCATGCTTCAGAATGTAATGGAACTCACTTTGAAACCCTGTTAAAGAGCTAAGAAAATACTGTTTCTGACAGTTAACTTTGCCTCTACACACTTATACCTGAGTAGCAGAATTTAAGCCCGCGTACATATAATTTCACTTAAAGAACCAATCATGCTATGATTTTGGGGGAGGGGGGCTGTCTACGGAATTTAGTTGATCACCTCATAAAGTTAAATTTTCTAAAAAATTACACTTTGAGACAAAATACCAACCAGGGTCTCTTGTTCCGAAGCTGGAATCTGTGAGGTACTTACAGCACCATCAGTAGACACAGACATATTGGTATTGCACATCTGCCTATGAATAGAGAAAAAAATAAAACACAATAAAAACCTATAACAATACCTTCAAATAATAACGCGTTTACTAAAACTAAAGTCATTAGCAAGGGAGCCCTTACCTGGATCACTACAGAAAGAGTGCTGTACACCTGTGACCACAGCTGTGAATACAGCTGGCAAAAGTCACAGTTTAAATACCCCAGCTGGAGACAAGTCAGGGCTTAGCTCCTTTTCTGCAGACTCAGAACGTGTCCGAACTTGACCGGACCAAGAGGAAAAGCTGAGTCAACCTGCCCAGAGAACCAGCCCAATCTCGCCCAGACTCGGTGCCCGCTTCAGATTGGCTGCGGAACATACACCTGTCATTATTCCAACCCCAGGCTTGCAGGCGGCTAGGGGCGCCACAGCCCCGCCCACGTGACCTTTATGGAGCCGCCCACAAAGCCCACCCCTGCCCCGCCACCCCCTTCCGGGAGCGCGGGCCTGAAACCTTGGCGACAACAAGCTGGCCTCGTTCCAACAAAACCTCCAGAAACGCATGTGTTCTGCACCCCCCACCACGAAATGACAAAGAAGGAGTGCAGGTAATAGGCTGGAAACGACAAAGAGCTGGGGGACCCAAGTCACAACGCCAACCCAGAACTGCTCCCGCGCTTCCCAGCCGATACCTACTCCTCCCCACGCAGGGTTTTCCGCGCCTGGAGTTGGGTAGCGATTCCCCCAAGGCTGCTTAGTTCCTTTCAAGGGTGCGTGGCAGCCCTCCACCAAAGGTTTCGGCAACTATTCTACTCTCGGGCCCGGGCCAATGGGGCCTTTGAACTTACAATGTCTAGAGGCGGTGGCTCCTGACGTATGAAGCAGCAAGACCTAGGTCAGAGGGTTTAAAGCTGCCCCTCAAGCTCAGCTTCTTGCTCCATTTCCCTTTCAGAAATACAGGCCCGCACATGCCCCAAAAGGAACCGAGCAGGACAAGGGGGACCCAAATAGCGACCCCTACCGCTGGAGAGGACCACGCCGGAAGTGGCGACCCATCCGGGCTTCTGTGTGCGCGCGCGTCCGGGATCCACAGCCCCAGCCTGCACCAACCGGTGAAGGGTGTTGGGCCCGTCTGCCTACGCGAAGGGGGCGGTCTGGGATCGCAGTGCGGCACTGGCAGGTGGGGCCGGGCGCTTGGCTCAGGGACCGGCCAGCCCCATCCACAACTTCCCGCTGGAGGTTTGGCCCTGCCCACCACCGCCTGGTTTGGCGCGGAATGCTAGGGACTTCTTTTTCCGTTGAGCTGTTTTTTGTGTTTCTTTTGTTTACACCATCTGCGGTGGAAACTGCGGGCAAATGCGTATCGAACTGCGCTACCAAAAAAAGAAACCAAAATTAACAGCTGTGCGGTACGGTGAGCGCACGCCGCCATCCGCTGGAGTTGTACATAAATGAGTTATTTTAAGATTTTTTTTTAAGTACGAGTAAAAATAGAACAATATAGTCTTTGTACACGGATGCACATAAATGTTTTAGTTACAGAAATAAAAGACTGGTAGGATAAAAAGCAGTTATTTTTTTCATTTTATGCTTCTAGAATGTTTGGTTTGTTCATATATGAGGCTAAAGCCTACTAGAAAAGAATGTTTCTTAATATTGGTCACAATTGACATCATTCAAGGATAATTCGGTTTGGCTTTTAAAAAGTAACAAAAATAAACAAACATACAAAGAACAAACCTGTGGTCCCCAGGTAGGGGAGGGAAGAGTTGAAAAGGGTGAAAAGGATTAAGAAATACAAATGACCAGTTATAGTCACAGGGATATAAAGTACAACATAGGAAATATAGTCAATAATGTCATAATTATAACTGTATGGTGTCAGATGGGTATTAGACTTAGGTAATCACTTTGTAAGTTATAACAAATTTTTAATCACTATGTGGTACACCTGAAACTAATATAATATTGTATGTCAACTATAATTGAAAAATAAAAATCATTTAAAAAATCTTTTTATTATAAAATTAGCCCCAGCTGGTATGGCTCAGTGGACTGAGCAGCAGCCTGTGAACTGAAAGGTCACTCAGGTTGGATTCCCACTCAGGGCATGTACCTGGGTTGCAGGCCAGGTCCCCAGTTGGAGCCCTGTAAGAGGCAACTGATCAACGTTCTTCTCCTACATGAGGTTCTCTCCTTTCTCCCTCGCTTCCCATTTCTCTGAAAATAAAGTCTTTTTAAAAATTGTTAAAACTCTTACCTGTATCACAGCAAATACAATGAATTTCTGGTTGTGAGAGCACATACTTGACACAGGATAAAAGCACAAGAGATGAATAAAAATATAAATTATACAAGATGGCATTTGTTAATGCCAAGTAAAGGAACAGGTATGTGCTGTAAGAGTTCAAAGATAGGATGCTCAGTGAATACCCAGGTGATTCGTTAGGCCTCAGAGGACTAGAGTATTGTGTGCCTTCAAGGATGGTAAGACTTAAAACAGAGAATATTTCAGGCATAAGAAAAATATTATCAGAAAAGTCCAGAAGTGAAATGTAAAGAGTTGTTTGTGAAACAATAAATCAGTTTGACTTGCAAAAAAGTAAAAACAAAAGTTTTGGCCCTGGCCAGGTAGCTCAGTTGGTTATAGTGTTGTCCCGCTATGCCAGGTTGTGGGTTCAGTCCCTTGTCAGGGCACATACAAGAATCAATCAATAAATGGATAAGAAGTAGAACAAATCTCTCTCTCTCTCTCTCTCCCCCCCTCCCTCCCCCTCCCTCCCTTGCCCAGTGATCCACATGCACACTGTGCACTTGTCTCTTCTGTCTATGGCCATTGGACTGCTCGTGCACGCTCCAGGTGGTAGCCTCCATACAGCAACACAGCACCGGACTGCAGCTGGACTCCGGACAGTGGACTTTATATTGGCCCTGCTGACGACAAGTTTGGGCCTTTTCCTTGGAGAGATAGAGCTGAGATATTGGGAAGTCAAGAGGGGAACCCCCTTAATTTTCCATCATCAATAGTTTATACCATGGAGCCCCATCCTGCCTTGCAGGTCTCAGAAAATCCTTTTCCTTGCAGTACCACAGACCTGTTTCACCGATAACAGAACCGTAAATGAAGGACAAAAATTACCATATTCAGAGTGTTGGGGGAGATGGATGGCAAGGATTCTATCTTTGAAGGAATTGATATTGACAAGGAAAAAATTCTAAGATGTCCTTAATTAAATAACAGCAGCCCAGAGGGTGGAAGAGACTAAAAAGGGTTAATTATTAACAACTCTGGTGCAAAACCAACAGAAGATTGCTCACACTCCTTAATACATGTTTGAATTATTAAATTAACCTCCAGGTGGTTATTTCTGAGATTATCTTAAAAGCAAGAACAACCAGGCGCCACAGAACCCCAGGAGCCTGTTTCTTGCTTACACAGGAGTTTTACAGACATTGCTGCCCCAATCCCAGAACTAGCCCCAGTTCACCTTCCCCCATCTCTTTGCTTATAGCTAATGTAAATTCTGTCTGAAAGGCTTTCTCCTGGCTACTTGATGTGTAAAAAAGACTTGCAAAACTCCTCCAGGATGAAACATGTTGTCTTTTCTACCTGGCCATGCTGCTGCTGGTTTAGACTTTAAGCAACAAAACTGGTCTTCTTTCTTTGCTAGCAATGGCCTAATAAACCCTTTCTTCAAACAAACAAACAAAAAAATTTAACTGTGGAAGTTAAAATATTTTTTAACAATATTAAAAATTTTATTAACCAATATCGCCCCAATAAACTCAATTTAAAAAAAAGAAAAGAGCACTAGCCAGTATGGCTCAGTGGCTTTTGGTCTATGAACCAAAAAGGTTACCAGTTCAATTCCCAGTCAGGGCACATGCCTGGGTTTCAGGCCAGGTCCCGTTAGGGGCCTGTGAAAGGTAACTAATTGATATGATTTCTCACAGATTGCTGTTTCTCTCCTCTTTCTCCCTCCCTTCCCCTCTCTCTAATAATAAAAAAATAAATAAAATCTTTACAAAATAAATAAATAAATAAATAAATAAATAGAAAAGAAAATTTGCCTTGTGTATCAAGCATAGCCCCCAAGAGGTGAACAAGATACTATACTCTCTGCTGTCATAGAAACTAGCAGGGTGACAATCTTTTATTTTTTAAAAAATCCTCATCCAAGGATATGTTTATTGATTTTGGAGACAGAGGAAGGGTGAGGGAGAGAACGAAACATCTATAAGTTCCCTTCTATATGTACCCCGACCTGGGATCAAACCCGCAGCTCTTTGGTGTGCAGGATGATGCTCCAACCAACTAAGCCGTCCACCTTGCCAGGGCAGGATGACTTTAATTTCTACCCAAACAGAATGATGATACCACTGACAAAAAGTCTGGAGAACTTGAAAAGTTGGTTGACTGTTGAGTTTTGGAAAATACACCATAGAAGGAAGAGTTCAGTGCTAGAAAAACTGGCTCTGAGCTCAGATTGGAGAAAGAGTTTTGCAATGATGATTGACTCAACACTTAAATAAAAATTCCTCAATGGTGAGAAGAGACTAGACTAGGATAAGCTGCAGGGGTAGGTACAGTGAAGAAGCAGAGGAATGACTAGAAGACCAACCAACACAGGGCCATAGAAAGGCGTCTCAAAAACCAGACGAGTCAAATTATGATACTGAATACTGCTGGAAGTAAAAGCAAAAAAAATGAGAAAACACACTGGATCTGTTCAATCTAAAAACAGTTTCTGTTGTTTGTGACTTTAACATCAAGAAAAAGATACAGCTGCTGTTGTTTCCCTACATTCCACAGTTATCTCATGTTACTCTGCCCTTGCTGTGCTTACTCAAGGCTTTTCTGGGGCAAATTTCTGCTTAATTTTCAGCAGTATTGTTGACACCCGCATTTGTTCTAAGAGATGGTGATATCTTAAGAATCTTTATATCATATGGGACCTAAACTCTGCAAACATATCCACAATAAAATTTTATCTTGGTCCAAAGGCCATGTCATATTTGTATTTATTAATGACAATTATTTTTAAAGAATGGTTAAAAACAAACAGAATGTATCTCAGAAAGTATTTAGAATGTTCAGGATGCTGTAAGTTTCACGATATTTATGACATCATCTAAAATTACCGAGGTAGTTCAAATTCCAAACATCTAGAAATGAATAGTGTTATTCAAAAAGCAGACTCCCAGCAAATGGTGAATATAAACACAGCCTTTTTGTTTCTAATTATTTTACTTTATTTTTCAACCACAGTTTAAACTCAATACTATTCTGCACCAGCTTCAGATGTACTTTTTGTTTCTATTTTTAGAATTAACTAATTTTTGTTTATTTTGACAAGTTTTAAATATGCAGAAGCATTTACAAAACAATTCATATCCAATGTAACCACTGCTTAGAATTCACATTTGTCATTTCTTCTTCAGATATATTTTTAAAATAAAACGTATTTTTAAAAGTTGATATGTTAAAACATATAACATAAACATAAAACATAAAAGGTGTTCAACATTCCTAATCATCAGGGGGATGAAAATTAAAACCACAATGATATATCACTTTTAGAATGGCTATTATCAAAAGGATAAAAAAAATTAGCCCTGGCTGGTGTGGCTCAAGGGATTGAGTGCCAACCCACAAACCAAAGGGTCACCTGTTCTAATCCCAGTCAAGGTACAAGCCTGGGTTGCAGGCCAGATCTGTAGTAGGGGGTGTGTGAGAGGCAACCACACTTTGATGTTTTTCTCCCTCTCTTTCTCCCTTCCTTCCCCTGTCTCTAAAATAAATAAAACCTTTTTAAAAAAAAAAAGACAAAAACTAAGTGTTGGTGAGGATGTGGAGAAAAGGGAACCCTCACACACAGTTGTTAGAAATGTAAATTGGTGCAGCTACTATAGAAAACAGTATGGAGTTTCCTCAAAAAAATTAAAAATAGAACTACTATATAATCCAGCAATCCCTCTCTAACTCAAATAGATATATGTACTGCCATGCTT